CCCCATCAATGTTCTGGATCTGGTACAGAGGAAGAAAAAAATCAGATAATTTTTTGACAGGATAATACTTAAATTTTTTTTTTTAATGAAAATTTTTAGTACAGTTTATATGTAAATCCAGTTGAGCAATTAATTCACAAAAAAAAATTTTTTTTTCTATTGCCCTTTCTACTCTTTCCTTCCTTGCCCGATAAATCCGCGGAATGAAAAATTAATAAAGAAAAAAAAAAAGGTGAAGAAAAAAGAAATCGGTAGACAAAAGATAAAACTTAATCGATTGCCTAAAATTTGCAAATTGTAATAAAGAATAAGTGGTTATCCAATAATTCGATTTACCAAGGTCTATCTGGATGCAATAATCAAGAAAAAGTTTATTTTTTTTTCACTCTTTTCCTTATTCTATCAGTCTTTGTTTCTTTTAATTTGTCGCTTTTTCAATATGTACAGCAAAAAAAGATAATTCCTGGCTACACTTTATTCTGCTATACTACAATTTTTTTCTTTTTTTTTTTGCAAGAAAAAAATTTTCTATTTTAACTGAAAATTTACGATACAAAATAATTGTGAAACAGAATTTTCCATATTTAAATTGTATCAACAGTTTCTTCTGCGTTGCGCACTTTTTACAGCAAAAAAATAAGCAAAAGAAATTCCGATACTTATTACTTTTTCAACTGCTTAAAAAAATCTAAAATAGTGTTGCAAAAATGACAAAAAAAAAAAAGACAGAAGAAAAAAAGAAATTTGTTTAAACTTTTAAATTTTTATTTTGACTGTAAAAAAGAGGCAAAAAATTCTTGCAATTGCTGTTATCAGTTTACAATAGTCTCTAATAAAAGTGTAGCAGCTATTAGCTAGTTTACTCATCGTACTACCATTACTTTTTTTTAATCATTATTCTGTTCTTTCAAGTATCAGCTTTGTAGAACAAACTAATTGTTTCACTCTGTAAACTTTTGAACAATTAAAACAGTCAAAAAATTGCGAAATTACTTGCTGACTCTGCAGTTTTTTCAATAAGCAACACTTTTTGTTTAGAACATCAGTACTGTAATACTAACTGTTATACTAACTGTGAAGAGTTAGATCGTTATTTAATTTAGGATGTAGATTATTGAAAAAAAAAGTTTAAGTAGTTATTATTTCGAAAAAAAAAAA